CCCCCCCCCCAAAACAACTTGCTGCTTTGTAAAATGGCATCTACTGCCTGTCCCCATCTGCCTTGTTCAGAGCAGGGATGCTAGTGATGAAAGCCTGTTCTAGACCCACCTCCGGTGTGGAAGTGCCCAGGCCTGGGATGAGTCTTGGACAGGGGACTGGTGGGGACAAGCTGTATGGAGCGTGCAGTGGTTTTATCTAATCTATTGTTCCTTTACAGTCAGCACTCATGACTGCTGGATCGGTTGTACCAAGGCAGTGTTGCGTTGCACTGTGGCTGTCAGGACACCCTCTTGCCTGAAAGACTTTCCCATCCCAGATGGCAGTCGCCGTACTTCGCAAGCACGTGGTGTATACAAGTTTCTGCAACAGGAAAAAGCTATGGCGTGGCCAGGTAAGGAATGCTTTCTTGATCGTTGATGCGTGGCATACAGCTTTATGCACTCTTGGTAAGTTCTGTCAAAGTATATGGCTTCAACATGGCATTTTAGTGGACATCAGTAGATTTATTAGCCCCCCCACCCCTTCTCTGCAGACAGGGTGTTTCATTCATGCTCGTCGTCTCTCTTTTGTTCGTCGTCTCTCGAACAGCTATTGATTTAGTGGGCTTTGAATGTCATTGTAAGGTTTCAAGTGGGTTATGGCAAGCACAGTTCCACCGTGGATCCCAATCCACCACCCCGAGTTTGCAGGCCAAGGTAGGAAGGGAAAAATCAAAATGAGGGCAGTCACATCTCTAATTCCAGGTCCCAGTTTAGCAAATGGTGGCGATGGACGCATCACTTCTGCCAGGGGCCCCGATGAGCTCTTCAAATAAAACTACAGGGCTGCTTAAAAAGCTTGAGGCCAGAATCCATATAAAGAGAACTCCGTTCCTATTGCACTTACCACCTTAGTACTAGTGCTAAAACAGTGGCTGCTAAAATGGGTGCAGGGCCATTACTAGGACTGCAGGGCTTTAAGACGTGTTAGCTCTTAAAAAAATAAAATGCCTCCTCAATCAAGAAAACTTGATCACTTAAAACTTTGGGGTTTTTTTTCCAGTTTTTATTGAGTGAAAATGTCAAACCTTGCATCAGTCATGCAAAAAAAAAAATCAAATAAATAAAACACATATATTAAATTTCTAATAGCACTAAATTCAAGTGGAAAAATATTCAGTTCTTAATAACGCAGGTGCTGAAGAGACCAGATTCAAGTAAATCAGAGCACACCATCCTGTTTAGGGTGTTTTTTTTTCACTTTCTGCATTTTTGTCTCAAAACCTATATATATATCTATATATCTATATATATGTATATACATATAGATATATACACACACACATATATATGTGCATACATATTATTTTTATATTTATATATATACACATACATATTTATAAAACATTAAAAAGAGCATTGGTGGTTCAAGCATTTATTCCCCCCCTCCCCCACGGAAAGAAAAAAAAAACAACAACAAAACAAAAAAAATTACACATTTAAAATTCAAAATGAGCTAGCAATGGCTTATAGTCCTAGTGTGCAATATGGATATTACAAAAGGCTAGAATCCTCCCTCTTTGTCTTTTTTTTTCATTTTTGTTTTTTAAAGTTTTTTTTTTTGCTACATTGGAAAATTTTTTTTTTTTTAATTTTTTTTTTTTCTTTACAAAATTCCTTCCACGCAGACTTTAATCCAGTTGAGTTTGTGGCTAGAATGAACAATCTAGTCAATAGTTTTTGTTTTATTTCATTTTTTTTGCTCTTCAGCAGTGAATGGTAGCAGAATCAGGAGGGTCCATCTCAAGGTTTATTTTTGGGTTTTATCTTGTTTTGGACAGAATAGTTCCATTTCCTTTCTCCTCTTTCCCCCTCCTCATACAGTTAGTTGAATCTCCCTCTCTTTCTCTGGCTATTCTTTTAAGCACGTATTTCAACAGTATTGTGTTAACAGTCCTATTGATATGATAGCTTGAAGTGAAAAAACCACCTCACTGTAATAGGGATCTTTGTGCTGTTGAGGCCTTTGTTCAGAAAAGCACTTAAGCAAGGGCTTAAACCTGTGCCTGTTCAGACAGCATCTGCTTAAGAGTTTTGCTGAATTAAAGCCTTAACACGGCAGAATAAAAAGACGGGTTTAACTTTCTTGACTTTTTGTTGTTGTTGTTGCGAATAGAGACATAGTAAGAGCTTTACAGAAACAAGACTTGGAGAAGGTTGAGTAAGACGCGCTCTGGGGGTAGGGCCAGCCCGCTGGGTGGCCCCGTCTGGAAGGGCAGGGTGGCCACTGTCCTGTGAGGGTATCTGACCTTCTGTGGGGGTCAGGCCCTGCTCGGGCGTCGCATTTAGCAGTAGCAGTAGTTGGGAAAGAAATCTCATTCCCTGTGCCAGCTCCCGGAGAAGAGGTGATAGAAGTTTGGGAGAAAGGCTGAGATGTTAGGGAGAAGTAGGGTGCCTTGGGGGAGAAAATGGTGTGCATAGATAAACACAGGCCCTTCTGGCACACTTAGTCACACAGAAGGACGTGTGAAACAGGGCCCCGTTCCAGCGCGGATCCTGGTGCAGTTGCACTGGTCGCACCTGCCTAAAGCTGCCTCCTGGGATGATGTATTATGTCCAGCGCCAACCAAAGTGGGCTGGTGTTAGCAGAGCTACTGGTAGATCTTTCACCCCTTTTCTCCACACACTTCTGCTTTCTCCCACTGTTGTGCAGTGATTCAGTCAGTGGTGTCTAGTGAGATATGAAAGGGGAGAGGTAAAAAAACCACTACGTCCCGGTGCAGGTTCCCAGCTCCTAACAGCAGGGAAACAGCCCGTCTATCCTGAACGGAAACAAGTGGCCCAAGTGAGCCCCGTGCCTTGCCACTGAAACCAGACTCCCCCCTCGCCTTCAGTGTTAACAGCGCTCACAGGCAGGTTTCGTGTAAACCTTGCAGGGTGTTGTCTTGAAGGCGGCAGTAGGCTCGATCCTGCTCCCACAAAAGTCACCGATATACATCATGTCGATTTCAGTGGTACAAAATAAACACATCTGTTTTGCAAGATGTGGCTTGTGTTACATCCAAGGATTCCTCTTGGAGCCCATCACCATACTATCTAAGTATTTGAATATGGGAAAAATGTACAAGTATAGAACCTGCAGCAAATGCCGTTAAAGTAAAATCTTTTTGCCCCATCCCATTTCTAGAAATTCCAGGGCCTCATTCCCTCACTCTGCCCCAGGAACGTGAGCTTCATTATATTCAAGAATTGGGTTGTGCTAGAAAACACACAGTTGAGGGCAGGGGATATACCAAACAAAACAAAAACAAACAAAAAAAATAAAACCCTATAAAAATAAAAGCCACACAAATAGCTGATAGAGGAAAAGAACTCCAAAGAATTAAATATACTACAAACTAGTAATAACAATATTTCATTTGTTTTGTTTTCATTTGTTTCATCTCTACAAAATTCAAGTTAGAATTCGGAATCGTGCAGCTCCGGTCAGTGCTAGGAGTGTGAAGTCAGCCTCAAACTTCAGCATTAAGGCCCCCCTCCCCTGCCACCCCCTACAAACAAACACTGCATTGAAGGGGGGGGGGGGGGGGGGGGGAGGAACTAAGGGCTATCCAGAAGGCAGGTGACCCCCCTCATCCCCCTGGCATTGGTGGTTTCTCTTTTGTTTCTATATATAGTAATAACCTTTACAGAAAAAATACTTTACAACTTTTTTTTTTTTTTTGCTTTTCCTTTTGAAACATTATCTGAACATTCTGTCCCCACATTTACACAGCTGAGCTGCTTGTTTATAAATCAGACCTGATCTGCATCAGTTCCTTAGGGAAATAATTAAAAAAAAAAAAAAAAAAAAAAAAAAAAAAAACCAAAATTTCCGAGGCCTTTATCTGTTCAGGGTGAAAACAAATTATGGGGATCCCTTGGAGCTGAAGTGCTCATGGAGTTGGGGGGGGAGGGGGCGCCTGCATGATGTTAGAAAAAAATAATTAGGATTTTTTTTTTAAAAAAGGGACAAACTTCAGACACAAGGAACCTTTTGCTAGGCTGGTATACTTACAATCTGGCATTGAAATAACTTATCAGAATTAATTCGTACAGCTAGTCCTTCTGGAGCCCAGGTGTAGGTAGACAAGCCCTCTCTCTCAGACTCAGGTGAGGATTTGGGGTCAAACAGCTACTGTCTCACCTGTCAGAGACTGGGACAGTATCCTGTAGTGTGTTCCCAGACTAGGCTAGGAAAAGAGAGCAGGGAGGAGCTTGTAACCAGGGGAAAGCCCAAGCTTCTGGAGGTGGCAGGTCTCAACACAGTATAGTTGCATTTGCTTATGCAGTATCCAAGCTATTGGCAAAATTTATCAGCATGGACCCAGAAATGCATTAATTCTTAGGTGGACTACATCCTGGCCTCAGCTAGCATCTCCGCCCATCTTTGAGTGCTCTGTGCTGTGTAGGCTGCAGCAGCCTCGTGTTTTGTAGCTGCAAAAACCATGACTGGGCCAATAGCTACACGGGTGCTGCAGAACAGTGTTGTCCCCCCTCCCCGCCCCAGTGCTGAGCAAAAGAGACCCCCGGTCTGAGCAGGACATCCCACAGTGGGATCCTGAATGTTTGCCTGCCTTCTCTTCCCTCTTCAGCGGTGCCTTCACCCTCTCCCAGAAGTCACCAGAGATCTGTATCAGTCCATGCAGAAAGAGAGACTTGCCCATCCCCAGTGAAAGGCTGGGGACAGGGGCTTGGGGACTGGGGACATACCTGTCATTGTACGACTGCTTGGGTCAGAGAGCAAGTAGTATTTTCACGGCTGCTTTTATGGCTAAGAGCGTCTTCGTGGATGACACT